GCTGGTTTCGTACGTATTTATCTATGACCATCGGATATCACTGTTTGTTATACACCTAGGTCGTTTATTCAGTATCTAGATCGGACTTACCAGTGGTATGAAAAACCAGGGCTATTGTTGTTGCTTTTGCACAGTAAAACACCCCGGGTATTTTGTATAATTCGCTGACACATCAAGGAGCTGAGAAGAAATACCAGCCCCGCCTCAATAGCTTTCTGTCTTCAATTTCTTTCTAATATACTTTCTCCTAACCATTGTATGTGAAACTATTATCCTGTAGATTTATTCGAGGTAATACTCTTCCGTATCATTTTGTTTGTCTCTTACAGATCACCACGGGACGTGGATGCGCTTTGTATGCAGGCGACAGCAGAGCTGTTCTCGACGAAGGTAGCACCTGGTCTTGTGTTCGCGAAACAGGTTGGAAATATGTACACTGCATCGTTGTATGCTTGCCTCGCCAGTTTGCTTCTGAGGTCAGTTAAGATATCATTTGTTTCTTTTGTTTTATTTCTGTCGTCCAACTTTACATCACGCGATTCGAGCCGTTTCCCTGCACATGAGCTGTGGCCACTGGACGACACACGACTGTTTTTATTGTTTATTGCGCACCTACTTAATAACATATCAGTAGCCTGTTTCAAAAGTCGTTTTCTGGTGTGCTTCATTCGTACGTTCCGGAGGTCGTTTGCTCATGGCGCAATGCACCCGGGTTTTGATGCTGCCTTTTTGTGTGTGGTTACGTTTATTTGTGTTTTTAGTTTCAAAAGAGCAACCAGAAGTGAAAAAGGAGCTAACCAGGAAAAATCCACCATTAAATAATCCGCTCAATATTCCAGCTATTATCCACCCTGGTTTCGCATGTTTTTCAATTATTCTTCCGTACCACCACAACGTGTTATCAAAAGAGAGCGAAGCTTTCGAGCTTTATGAAGCCTGGTTTGCTTTTCCATCTCACATTTACTTTTATGTATTAAACTTTCAAGCGATTACAGACAGACACCACTGCGATCTTTTTTCTTTCCATTCCGGGGTATCAGCATCATCAGCATCATCAGCATCATCATCAGCATCATCAGCATCATCAGCATCATC